TGTGCGATATGACGATATATATCGGATGACTTAAACGTATGTCGTTTGATATTATCGTTTATTTTTTTGATGTCACAAAATACATTGTTCACAGCAAGTTTTTCATCATTTGGATGACTGCAATGTTACCCGCCATCACATGTGATGTGGCACTTCTTTGGGAGTTTTTATTGGACTTTATTATTTATAACCCACAGAAACCAATCCACAAATATGTACCATGATCCATATATATTTTTAAATACTTCTGCGTTCCCTCGCAATACTTTCATGTTCCATCGCAATCCTTGTGCAATCCAACTGCACTTGCCCAGTTGCTATTTGCCTCAACATTACCTAAGGGTTAAGCATGGGGACATTTGCATCACCACAAACTAAAACTGAAACGAAAACGGACACTAAATAAAAGAAAATAATTTGTGAAGGGAAATAAAAATGAAAACTACACTTACAAGAAAAAAAAAACACGTTGTAGGACTTTAATCAGCAAAAAGCAGCACCACACCACAAATAATTTTCCATTGTTTATCCACAATATTTCCGCTTTTAAAAGATGTGGTTGCTGAGCTGTCCCTTTCTTGACTTCAGTGCGTATCGCCATAATTTACCAAAGCAGTCACATGTGGCGTGCTCCGCTAACCGAATTTAATACACACAATGATACACCAAATTTATACAGATTACTGACTTTTGGGCGTCAGAATACGTATATCCCCTTACGAGAATTAACTATGGTTTTACTATGATTAAATAACCATGGTTTACAGTGGTTTGCCATTTTTCATGGTTTCTATGGTTCTATCATGGTTTCGCTGGTCATAAACCATGGTTTTTGTTTTACCATGGTCTTTACCATGGTTGTTGCTTTACCATGGTCTTTGTTTTACCATGGTCTTTCCAAACCATGGTAGTACTATGGGTAGTACCAAAGTACCATGAGGTACCATACTGTAGTAAAACTATGGTTACTGCATAAAAACCATAGGAAACCATAGTGAATTTTCATAAGGATCTTAATATTTTAGGCATGTTACTAATCTGCTTATCCAATTGTGGGCGAAAATAATTTCCGTATAGTGCCAAAAAGCCGGTGTCCCTTATCTAAAGCCCTGCCATAACATAGAGATGTTTGTTGTCAAATAAAATTAACTTACTGTAAATGGTCTATTTGATTTTCTGGAGGAAGATATATTGTTTATATTAAATCGACCAATCAGTAAAATAGTCGACAGATTAATCCATAGAAAAATAGTACTTAGTGGCAGCCCTGCTTCTCAGGCTTCTCAAAATTATAAAAGTTTGTAGGAAAGTAACAAAAAACATTTCAAATAATGACAGTGATTTTCTGTTGGAACACAGAGAAAATTCTACCAATGCAGATCATCCATAAACACGCCTTCAACTTGTTCACATTAACATAATAACAAATCACTCAAGATATTTTAAAAGAACTTTAAGATTTAAAAATTATTTTGTTAAATTCAACTCCTGGCAGGACAAAAGCTACTTCACGTTATACTGATAATGTGTGTTTCCAAGCAGAACCATTTCACAGTAGGAGTTCCATGAGAACTTTTCAGAATTTGCGAATCCAAGCAAGACAAAGTGGTTATTGACATTTTCAGAGGTCATAACATGAAAGAGCAGTTTCTTTTATTTAATGTCTTAGGAGGAGTCATGAGAGCTGAATTTCTCAATGGATGTGACAGCTCAGTGTATGAGTGGTGTTTAAAAAGGAGGGAAAGCCATACAAGGAATCATAACAAACGGAGAATTCTGAGAGTCTTTTTACCTTCCAATAAAATTCCCAAAAGTTTCAAGATTTGTGGCTTAACTGCAAAGAGGTCACAATTTTAATTGCTGGCTGAGCAGAGCAAACTGCCAAATGAAAAGAGGTTTTCTCACAACAAGAAACAATAAAACAGAAAAACAGCATTACGTCACAAAAACAGGAACTGTAGAAAAAATTATTCTGCAGAAACTGCAAGAGAATTATATATCCATGCAGATTTACACATCACAACAGGTCAAGTGACCCTGATTACTTGCTTCACCTGTCATAGCAACCCTGCGACATCTGAGGTTTAATTGATTCTGTAACGACCTACATACTGTACCTTACTAATTATTATTTATCTTCAGATTGATGCATTTATAAGCATATAATCTAATGCTATGCTTTAATCCTCTAGTGTATATCTGTTAGCTAATTGCTCTCTTTCTATAAGATTTGGCCTTCAAAAAGATTGTTAGAACAAGAAACAATGAAAGTCATTTTATGAAAGCCGGTATAATTGTTTTGGATTAAAGACGAAAAGCACGAATGATGTGAAGATTTAATCTCGGAACGGAGTTATGCAGCAGCTATGGGTGACCTTTAAAATGTTCCAGGGTATGGAAATTAACACATCATTTAATCTAACATTAGCTTAATGCAATTAAAGAGAAAGTGGGGGTGACACATCATCAAACCTGACATTCTTCATTTTTCTCCATCTTATGGAGAATCACAGGACGAGGCAGAAGTTTCAGAAATCCAACCCTTTGTCATGACCATCTCTAAGTGGATCCCTATCAAGACAGTGCTGTGCAGCACAATTACACTGCATGGCACAAAGAGTCAGGATGTTCTGGCAGTGCGGCTCGACGTATCTGAAATCCTGGATGCTACTTCTGCTACGCTGCACGAAACTGCTGGCATGGCATCCACAAACATATGGTGAGCGCACGCCAATCCGGCCACCCGCAGAGGCCCGCATCTGGATCCAGTCCAAGACCCACTTTGAAGAGACCATACTCCAGCAGGTTCTACAGTTTATGTTTCAGAACTTTATAAATCAGTAGTGATTCTAATCACCATGCCACTATCGATGTGGATTTAACTACATGAGCCCCATCAGTTCAAATCACACAGCCAAAAAGTTACTACTACTGTGCATTTTCTCACATGATCATGAACACACCAAATCCTGCCAAAGAAATGTGTGTTAACATCTCTTCATTTATCCTTGGTGCACGCACAGTGTTCAAGAAACAACATTCCGTTGCTCCCTGGTTGTTAGGAATGATCACTGAATTGCTATTTTTAATATAACAACATTTAATAGCTGCTTGGTAGAATAGAATGAGAACACCACAACTGAGATGTTGTTACTGAAAATATATCTCGACTTAGCACGAAAGAGTGACCATTCTCAATAGGATTAGACAGGGAATAAACAGAAAAAGTAACTTTTTCCATCAGGAACACCCTATTGAGTTTTGTAGCCTCAAGTTAAATATGTGATCATATTTATATCATATGAAGCAATGAGAATGGAGCAAGAAGAAATAAGATAAAGAGTAATTAGGATATGTTATACTGTACTGTGCATCACAGCAGGGCAGAAAATCCACACGATTACATCCCCCCCCAATGAGATTTCAGAGGTAGCAAAAAATAGCAGAGAGGAACAGAGAGGAAAAACATTTTCAGAGGGGACCCGAAGGGATGCAGAGGCTGACTATGAATAGTTCACAGTCTTCTGTCTGTGCTGAGAAACTAGCAGCAAATGTGGTGAAATAAAAATAGCTAATATTTAACAAAATATGGGTCAGTCTCGTGTATGTTTGTATTGTATTGGATTCCTGTTGTGATTTGATATGTTAGTTTCTAAAAGTGCCTCGCTGTTTTCGGAAACTAACTCCCCCGATCGGTAGCTCGTAATCACCTGGAGTGTCTGTCCTTCTTTTCTTAAATGAGGAACACGTCATTGCAAAGAGGTTAATCAAACAGAACCAAACCATTACACACCCAACCAAGGTTTTATGGTCCATATTCATGACCATTGGGATTTGAATTTAGAGTATTCATATCCATGTGAATCTAACTGTGACCTTGAACCCCCAAGGGTTTTTTTGTGCTGTATCAAACTATACAGTTTTGCTTCCTCTGCTCCATTGTCCCATGGCTTTCATTCACTATCCATTTACAATATTGTTAGCCTAAACTGTTCTATGTCAGTAAGCGCCTCTGTTGTTCGATTCTTTCTTAAGTGCTTTAGGGCTAGAACATTAGGAAGGGTGTCATATAAAGTGAATTGAAATTGACCCTCAAAAAAAGAGACAAATCAGCTGACAAGCTGCCAGATTACCATTCATTTCTACATTTTACTGCAATGGTTAGATATATGTTTCATGTAGCTTCAGTCTCTATAAAAGTTTTTTCCATTCTAAATTCATGGCAAGCCCAGTTGGTTCTAGCTGATGCTGGCAGCCTAGTCCATCCATTTTCATAGGCCTTTCATCACAAAGCACCTTGGCTCCGTCTGCTGTCGGCTGTCGCCTCATCTTTGGCCCGTTTTGAACAACACTCGTCTGAGCGAGTGGCCTTGGCTCTGCTGATGTCTGGGTGGGCTCTGACAAGCAGATCCTCTGATGTCAAGGGTGTCTGGAAAGCCCTTGAAAGACGATGTGGAAAAAATCCCGATCCTTATCGTATGGAGGGAATTATATTACATGTTTTCACAGCTCCTTGCCACTATCTCCTTACATATTCTGCTCACCTTTTTTAGCAGGCATTCAGACCACAAAGTGCCTCATATTATTGCAGCTAGCTAAAGTTACTGACACAATACTGCTTGAGAAATTCTGTAAAAAAAAAAAAACACACAACCCAAGCCGATACAATTCCTTAATAGCTGACAACTCTGTAAATATGGCTGCAAATGCATGAATTTTGGTACTTTTATTAGATTTTTATGGAAGGTGACATTTTCATTACTCAGAAAAATCTTTTGTTGAATAAAAAGCACCATGTAGCACCAAGATGACCTACCAAAGTAACAGCATTGTTTGCAAATGTTAGCGCCCACAGAAATGAGCACTTTTAAAACATGAACGACAGGGCACTTTATGATCAGGGAACTACTGCACTTAACTTAGACTGCCTGCTAAAACCCTTAGCTTTGGTGGCCTGGAAGGATTAGGATTAGGATCTACCAGGCAGCAAGTGTATAAGCAATCACTGAAAATTAGTTGCCATGCATGTTAAATAACACATCCGTTGCAAACAGACTTACATTATAGGGGTCATGAAGCTCACACTAGCCATCAAAGGGTTTAGCTTGTGAGTCCTTTTATCTATTGTAAAGGCTTAGAGATTACAAACCACAATAGCTAATCACAGTCCTCCTGAGCCTTCAACAATTTTTCCAACAAAAGCTAATTCCATGAACTGAATACAAGTTCCCAAGATCCCCGAGGGTCCCTGAAGGAAGTTCTACACAATATTAGATTTCATCCTCTGCACTTTCCTGTACATCCTCTGTTCTTTCCAGGATAGGCTCTCTGCAGTGGCTTTTCCTCCACTGAGGTTCCTTCGACTTCTGTCAACCGCATCATGTTTAAGTCCTAGAGCCAAAATGGATGCCTTTACAGTCTGTTCACATTTCAGCACTGTTCTGTTCTGATGCAAACATCAGGCTTGGCACTAGGCTGGCTTGATTTAGGGGTGGGGGTGGGGGGGCATTCACTGACTTTGGTTGGGCACCACTGCACACATTTATTTATTTTATAGATTTTAAAATATAGAGATTATATGGCCAATCATAAGTGAAATATGAGAAACAGAAATTTCTAAGAAACTTCTTGCCATGTGCCATACTGAATCTTTCTTCCTGGTATGAAGGCCGTCAAAATGAGAGCCGATGTCAACTGTGCCTCAACACAACTCACCCTGCATCCCTCTGATGTTGCTGCAACCAATCTCAGCCATGCCATGAGGACCTGAAGCGGTAACACAGGAAATGTCCGAATAAACAAGGCGAGCCATGTACCTGTCCTGTCAGGAAAATGCGAGCTAATCCAAGAAGCCCCCCAATGTGACACATTTAAGATAATCTTACAACTACTATCATTGCGGGCAGTGGTGGCTTGATGGTTAAGGAAGCGCACTTGTAATTGAAAGATTGCAGGTTTGAATCCCCGACGAGCAAGGCACCACTGAGGTACCCTGAGCAAGGTACTGCTCCCCGGGCACTGAATTAGCTACCCCCTGCTATGTCACGAAAGTCACATATGGGTTAAATGCAGAGGACACATTTCATTGTGGTGTGTTGACAATGACCACTGATCTCTAAATTTACTACATTTTCACCACAAGTGGACCACTGTGGGGCTAAAGAGGTGAAAAGGCCCAGTTAGCCATGATTTTAGCACAGAGGTGGAAAGACAATCTGAAGGACACGGTGTTCAGAGGACAGGCGGCTACAGAAGATCAGGAGTCTCTCACCAGTGTTCTCTTACACACAAGACTGCCGGCTCTTCTCTCTGACAGTGTCAAGCGCCTTTTTCCTCACTCATCCCCCATGAAAATGTCTACAAAGAAGCAAGTGGGATTATCTCCGGTAGCCTCTCACTACTCCATGGTGCCCAGGATGCCATGGAGCTCTGTGATTACACACCTACTGTACCCCCCTGCAGAACGCAACAGATTCCTCTCCGTTCCGCTGGTTTTACTTCCGACTAGCTGCGCTTGTTTGAACTAAGAATCAAAGACCTTTCAAAGGCTGTTGAATTGACTAAAATACCCAGCTACTGTCTCTTTTGTATGGAGAAATACAAATGCCTGGATGTGCTCTTTCTTCGCCAAAGCATTCCCGCAGGATGATCAACGCACAAACTCAGTCTTTCATTCCTCCATGTTTTTTTTTCCCCAGCGATATTTTCTCTCCAGTTAGACAAGCTCACTGCATATGTTCCCTTTTGATCCCTACAAAACAGAAAAAGGCATTTTATTTTGTTCTCAAGTTGCTGGAAACAAATACTTTTTTATATTGGCATGGCATTCGCTTGAGTAACGTTTATACAAAAAACACTCAGCTCTGTCATGTTACTGTCACTTCTGATTGGAGACAAACAATGACAAAGAAAGCATCAAATTGGCTGACAAATAAGTAATAAATAATAGGCAACCAGAAACCATCAGACAGCCTGTTGTCAGGCTCCTGCCAATTCGCTCACCCAGGCCATTAGAACCCCTGAGAGTCGGGGTGAGCATTTGACCCCTGAGTAATGCTGAAGACCTCGATCCAAGGAGAAAAACAAGATTTACCAACCCAGGTATGTATTTTTTATTCAATTAGCATTTTGCAAAATTAACTCAAAAGAGAGTTTAGCATTATGGTGGAGTGGCAAGCTCAGGGTTTAGGATACATTGGGGTGATAAACAGGCCCCCTGACTTTGGAAAGAAACACAGCTGTGCATTGATGAGAGCAATCTCAAAATGAAAGCGTCACCCTCTGATTTGCTGCCAAACTCCCTGGAGAAATGAAGATGGGTGGAGACTGCAGAAGCCAGAGAATAGTTCTCTGGTACCATTGACTAGGACCTCCATCGTTGTCCAAAGTATCTGCTGTCTTTGCTCCCCAGGCACACTGCAGGGCACAATGAATATGAGAGACGGGCAAGACAAGAAAAACACTGCCCTGAATGCACATTGCAGTCCTGTGTCTGGAGCACACAATGGTGAGCACTCACTGCAAAACATTCACTTTGGCACATCTGATTAAAGGAGCCCAGGGAAGCTTTCCACCAATCATTTCACAAAAAATTCTAATATTTTGCCTTCAGAGGTATGAAGGTCTTCTGCCCCTTGTAGGGGATGAATTTTCACACAATGAACACTGAACACAAAATCAGGGAATGAACATAAGCTTAGCATCCATGTCACCATTAATTTCACAAAAAATTCAAATATTTTGTCTTCAGGGGTATGAAGGTCTTCTGCCCCTTGTAGGGGATGAATTTTCACACAATGAACATTGAACACAAAATCAGGGAATGAACCAGAGCATGTGAGCGGAGTGGAGCGGTGAGAATTTCCGCTCCTCGCTCACGAGGCTGTCGGCTCCGCCCGCTCCTCCGCTCAAATTCGCACTACGCCGCTCCGCTCAACACCGCTCCTCGCTCCACTAAAATTTCCTCCCACTCCAGTCAAATCGCTCCACACTCGCTCCAATTTAAAAGAGGGACAAATAAATAAAGAAATATGAGCAACGGCAACATTGCCACTCAGAAAATATTTATTTTTAAGCAACATATAGGCAACAATGGACAGGTTTGGCAATGGCATTCCACACAAAAATAGGCTTAAAAATAAAGGAATCGGTGGGCTTAATAGCCTAAAGAATATAAAGGGTAAGCTTCTACGTTTTAAATTCCTCAATTTTTTTCTGTTGATGCTGCTGCGTCTCTCTATAAAATAAAATTTCACTGACAGCGTTACGTGAAATTAAAAAAAATCCTATTAGACCTACTTTGAATGACACAACGAATTTATTAGACTACAAATATTTACTTTATAGGCTTTTATACTTTAATTTACTTTATAGACTTGATATATTACAACCATATAAAACTTACTCACGTTTTGCTCCGGCTTCCGCCTGTTCGCGTAGCACACTCATGTTTCTGAGAAAAGTGATTCCAAAGTGAATCTTTACTCACTGAAACAGTTTCACCACATTGTTGTTCTTCCTCTACATTATTGTCCTCTATACGTCTGATAAGAATAGTACATTTGTATGATTTATCAGTTTCCTTTGTGAAATACTTTGCGAATTCCATCTCGGCCAATCTGTGTAACAGTCTTGATAATTGTACAGATGAATTCTGGGTAGATTTGAGCACGCCTCAGAATCATAGTGTGAGCGGTATCGGAGCGAAATTGGAGCGAGACGGAGCGACCGCTCCAGCCTTAATTAGAAAACCGCTCTGCGCTCTGACCAAATTACGCCCGCTCCGCTCCTCACTCACGCTCCGCTCCACTCCACTCACATGCTCTGGAATGAACATAAGCTTAGCATCCATGTCACCTGAGAAAAATGCTAACACTAAATTGAGAGCTACTGTTTTGAAGTTGGCTGTAAAAGATAAGTTGTTACCCAGAAGTGACATGCTAGTGAATGAGAGTTAATTAGGTTCCCTCCTGTGTTTCCCATTGATTTAACTGGTCTGTGAGCCAAATCATGTGTACTGGAGACTGTTAGGAAGAAGCTTCATTATGCTCCTTGCTAATTCATTTTGCCTACTATTAGCTATTAGCAAGCAGAAGGTCTGTAATCACAGTGCACAAGGAGACAGGTGACAACAGAGCTTGAGAAGCTCTGGGTACTTGGGTAAGGGCAGGCAATTCCCAATTATAACATCAACTAACAAGAACCTTAATAAATGTGGTTTTCACTGGGTAAGTGGGCCCCAGTTCAATCGCTTTCAAACTAATCTCAACAAATCTCATTCTCTTTGAATGTATATGTCTTTTCTTAATTATCTGCTGGATACTTGTATTACACCTTACTTCATACTAAAATGACCAATTACATTCACTGTTGGTTGGACAAGTGTCTTGCACTGAAAAGAACAGATGTAACCATAACTGCACTTCAAAAGGAAACAATGCGACCTAAAATTTCTCTCTACTATACCAGGATAATCGACAACCAAGTGCTTCAACTCCCACACAGACTTTAAAAAGGCCTCTTTCCTGTGCCTTTTTGAAGTTCCCACCGAGTTCATGGAGAGCATAATCAATGTGCCCGCCAGAAACATTTTCGCATGGAACTATTTGCCCAGTAATGAGGCTCTGCAGTGGACAAGCACAACCAGTTCTGACAAAATGAACAAAATGTATTTAGTGCAAAACGTTTCTTTATACAATATATGGAAAAGGTTTTATCCTATCACAACAGATGGGCCTCCCACAAATCTGGGAAGATGGACGATTGTATGGACAGATGGACAAATGCCAGCAGAGCAACTGACCCTTGGTTACACCTATTACAAAACATATGAAAAGACACATGAATGAAGTGCTTTAGTACTGAAATGACAATGTTAAAGCTTCATTATACCAATGCCGTCTGGCATCCAAATGCCAATACAGCCGCCATTCCCAAAGAGCATGTCTATAACTAGTGATTAACATAAACCAAAAACAATACATATAATATACTGTGAAATTATCCTAGCTCCTTCTGTTAAATATGAGCAAGATGGAGCAAGAGTGCTGTGATCAAGGCACAAAGCTGTCAAAGAGGGAGAAGCCAGGAAGACCAGGATGGTGACAGCCAATCATTCCATTCTAGTCTTCTTAAAAACTTTGGTGCCTTTGAGAAAAATAGATTAATTTCACATGACAGCTGCACAAAACTAAATCTCTGAGCAGGTAATTGGAGGCTTTTAAAAGATCAATCAACTCAGGAAATCGGTCGGCTCCAAAGCTTACGTTTCTTTCCTGCCAAACGCCATCTTCGATTCAACCTAGGCTGTAACTGCACAATTTGTGTGTCAGCCTCAAAAATGTTTCCAGGGGGCCACAACATTTCATCTTGGCGTTTGGTCATTCCTATTAGCATTTGATCTTGATCAAAAACCCCTTGTTTGACCCACTGTCAACGTGCCGCTGTTGAATGGGCAAGGTGGCCAAACAGTTGGTGAGAAATGCCATTGGGGGGACTGATCAAAGCAATGGGGGGGGGG